TGAGGATGCCTGTCCCTTTAAGAAAGGGCTGCAGACAGGAACCAGAGACATGCAAGGCATGCCCCAGATTGTCTACAAGGGCTTCTTCCTGGAGGCCATTATTTTCGAAAAAATGGCCTCCCCGCGTCCACTCACACTCACTTTCGACAGATCTCCATCGAAAAAGGCGTTCTTCCTCGTGGAATTAGGTTTACCACCGTCGAAAGAAAAGCCACGTTCTTTCGATTTAATTTCGAAAATTTCGAAAGAACGGGGCTGTAGTCTAGACGCAAGTGAAGTTTTTTCGAAAAAAGGCTACTTTTTTCAAAAAAAACCTTGAGTCTGGACACAGCCTCCCTTTGCCCTCCAAAAATGTAAATAGAGATGTAAAATCCCATTAAGTTAACCAGGATCACACAGGCAGTGGGCCTGGCCGGGCTAAAGTAACCCTTCACCCATGGCATGGTGTTGTAGGCCTGCAGCTGTGCTATAGATTGTTCTAGCCAGGCTAAGCTTGCTGTGCTGTGGATGGGAGCTGCTTGGGCCAGGTTGGGCCCACTGTGCTGTGGCAGGCGGCTGTTCTAGTCGGAGGGAACTGCTCCACCCTGACCAGGCCTGCCATGTTGCACCCCAAGTTGGGGGCTGCTTCAGCCGAAGTGAGATGGAGCATCCCCTGTGGCATGGCGTGGCATAGTGAGCCCAGCCAGGGTGTAGCAGCCGGGTTGCCAGTTAACCACTTATCAAGCATCACAAGGTATGGGTAATGCTTACTGGGCAACTGGCTAGCCCTTTACACCTCTACTTTTAGTACTGCCTAATGAAGTATTCTGCTGTGAAAAAATACAAGCTGATTATTTAAATTATTCCCTGAATAACTATAGCTGTAAAAAGTAGTAACAGCTGACCTTCTTGTATACTGTCTTTAATCCTGGAGCAGCCTTAAGAGGAAAACATTTTCTGAAGTTTTGTGATTGTTTGATTGGAGAAGGTAATGAAATTAATTCCCCACTTTCTTCAAACCAGCTTTCTCCCTTGTTAGAAATATTTCAAAAGTTAGGCATATGTACATATGAAATGTTAAAAAGTTGTATACTTTTCATTTTCTGATTTTATTTTACATTTAGATTTTAAATTTTTAATGGAACAACACATTTACCCCTTCTTGTTTCAGAAGACGATTTTCCATTTTGTTATAACATCTCTTACAAATTTCTGGTTTTCTTGGAATGTACAATCCTTCATCTTCTAATATGCGTGGCATCATGCCTTTTGGTAGTTTAAAGCTGTGAACCACTTGAGAACAACAATTATTGTATGTACATTTTCAATTAAAATTTAGGCAAATAAAATGTAAAACCAAAAGTTAAAAACAAAGATATTTGTACTTGTCTAATATTGAGACTTGAAAGTATAAAGCCAAAGAGTGATCAAAGATTTTGTTCTTGCTGCTACTGTATCTATTACCACTCCATAACCATTTCTAACACAAGAATATAAGTAATATAAATAATTCTGATATATTGAGACAGTTCCCAATCCAGTCAGCATTTTTCCTGCTAGAAAAGAAAGCTACCAAAGACTCAGTTGGCATACAGACTGACTATACTGGAGGAGTGACTCCTCCACGTGAAGATGAAAAAATATTTGGCAATGCGGTGTGAAAGGATGTGCTACTTTTGTTGCCGGGGCTGAATAACATCTGTAAATTACTATTACTACAACACTTTGCATTTATATAGGCATTTCATCTGAGCAAAGAAAAGCTATACAAAGGAATTATTCTTATTTTACAGATGAGGAAATTGAGGCACAGATACATTTAGTGCACAAAGGAATTATTCTTATTTTACAGACGAGGAAATTGAGGCACAGATACATTTAGTGACTAGCACAAGGCCACAAAGTTTCTGAACCAAAGTCTACTGAAATCAGTGAAAGTTTTTCTACAGACACCGATAGACTTTGGATCATGAGTCACTGGCAGTATTATGAGTAGATGCTTGGATGCTTTTGGAAGAGGAGGTGGCCCAAATACAGGACAATCTTTCAAGAATCAAGGTAGCCCTCTAACCTAAACATGACCTAAAATATAAGGATTTGGTTTTGAACATCTAATGTATTTCAATTATCTCTTGACATCCCCTCCCAGTCTTCTAAATGGAACATAAAAATACAAACATGTAGCAACCAACGGCTCTCAAGACTGGAAACTAGAATTGGAACAACTAGAAACCTGTTACAGCTGATCCAGGTGGGAACATTTACAGCATTCAGTCGCTTACTTTACAATTCTCTGACTTTCTCTGTACTCTATTTCCCTTGCTAGACCAGCAGCAAGATGTCCATAACTCTAATTCATGACTGGGCTACACCTCACAATTCCTCACTATCTCCAAGGCCACTCTCCTCCAACATGTAAAAATGAATTGGTTTTTTAGGCCCTCACTGAGATTTGATGATTTATTAAAAGACACCTCTATTATCTGACTCTCCATATTATTCTTAGATTCCGTCCAATCTTGCACATATCAGTATGTCTTCTCCCTCTACAGTTAATGGAAGTTTTGTTATTAACTTGATAGGGAGCAAGACTAGGCTCTTTAATTTTATTGTACTCTATAATTACAATAATTTAAAAAAAATCAAATAAAGATTTCACTACATTTTCCCATTTTGGGGGGTGAGGAATAATAAAAACCTTCCATGTTAAAACATTTACCTCATTAGTACATAAATAAATAAATAAATTTTTATATATGTAGTTTTTACATAAATAAATAAATTTTTATATATGTAGTTTAGATTAGTAGAGTTTAGTAATTCACATTAGTATTGTATAGATTGCAACATTTTAAGAACTTTTTTTACTCTTACTCGACTTTGAAATACCTAGCACACATTTGGTACTGTATAAATAATTTTTTTTCCTGGCAAGATCAGACTTCGGTTTAGGGGATTACTACAGTTTCCTAAAATTTTTCCCAGCTTCTTCTAGTCCATTCTGTCAACTGCTATCATGGCAATTTCTGTCCAGCCATGAGAGATGCACTGAAGCTGCAGTTAAAGCAATAGATGAGTTGTTAAGAGTTAACGTAGATAAAAAGAAACATGGTTAGTGGCAGGTGGTTCAGATGATTAAATAACATTACCTGGGAGATAAAACCATAGATGGATCTGAATCACATATTCTCCTTTATTTGGACCATTCATGAAAGAATTATGTATTTTTGTTATGCAATTTATGCTTTTTGTAAAATTGAACTTAGCTCATAAGCCAGAGCTCCTAGACGAAAGCACTGATACAGATTTGCCTGTATTTATATCTGCAGACTAGGTAAAATATTGGCTCTGAAAATTTACATTATTCTTTATCTTTATTTAATTCATCGTGGGAATTGCACATGCCATACTGCTACCACTAGACGAAAGCACTGATACAGATTTTGCCTGTATTTATATCTGCAGACTGGGTAAAATATTGGCTCTGAAAATTTACGTTATTCTTTATCTTTACTTAATTCATCCTGGGAATTGCACATGCCATACTGCTACCAGTGCTAATGCCATCCATCATACACTTAATAATTTATTTGAAAGGAACAATACCTGGAGAACTGCTTGGCACAAAAAGATGTTCCCATTGCTTGTTAATCTGCAGTTCACTGCATTCATACTCAGCAGATTTCACTTCAAGCACATCTGGCAATAAAACTTGTTCCACATTGCCAAGCAGAGGACTACTTTCATCATTTAAAACATCAAGGTTTTGATGACTGTCATGCATTAATTTTTGCTGTTAATCAAGAAAATCATTTCTATAGGCACACAAACTAACAGAATGATTTGATAGATATGATAAACATACACATTAGCATTAAAGAATTGCTAGATAAATATATCTAACTGGATACATAGTTAACCTCAGGAAAAGCAAATTTTCTGTTTTGTTTTCCTTGCCTACCTATATGATTTCTATAATGTGATCAATAATTTACCTTTCATTATAGAAAATCCATGAACTTTTGAGTGACATAACATAACTGAGTAACCTATTGTCCAGAATCTTTTTCCTTCTCTCCAGAAGAACAAAATATTTTGCACAGAAAGTTAATAAAAAGCTGGTTCTCTGACTAGGAGAAAATGAGCCTCCATATTCTAAATAAACCTTAATAAAATGTAGACTTGAAAGCTTACATATGTCACTATTTTGTGACATTTTTTATATTTCAGAAGGAAACTGATTTAAACTAATATATGACCATTCTGAAAAACAAACAATAACATTTATTATTTAATTACAGTAGCATCTACTGTGCATTAGGGCCCTTACAAACATTTATGAAACACATTCTATGTTCTAAGTAATTCACAGTCAAAATTCAATACTTTTGTGTCTAAATTTATCTACAAGTGCCAGTTTGGGAAATCTATGTACAGATTATGAATTCTGTTTTATGTTGGTATCTTTTTACACGTATGTGTGTTAGACTGCACTTTGAATGTGGGACTGATGTACTTTCTCTGCTATCTTTGTATGACCATGCCAGACTGAAATTTCAAGAGGTGGTAAAACAAATCCGACAATGGAGGGTCTTTAAACATTGAAGGTACTTTATATACATGGAAAGCCGCTGGATTAAGTGGGCTACCACCCTGTCTAAATCAGTTATTCAAGTTTGAGCTTGGCATCAGGAGTGAAGGAAATAATTAAGCAATGGATCACAGGTGGGAGACTGTATACTTGACAAGATTAATAAGTGTGCTACAAAGGACGTTATAAAACTCTCTCACTTGCCATTTTGAAGAGAGAGGAAAAAAAGATCAGAAGCAAGCTGCAGAAATAACAGGGACTCCATGTTCCAAAAGAGAAGCCACGTGCAAGAGGGAAGGAGGAGAGGAAGGATCCTAAACTAGCAAACTCATTAAAAAACCCTGACCTGACCGCCAAAGAATTCTAAAAAGTAGTCAAGAAATTGAATCATAGAATCATAGAACACTAGAACTGGAAGGGACCTCGAGAGGTCATTAAGTCCAGCCCCCTGCCAACACGGTAGAACCAAGCGCCATCTAGACCCTCCCTGATAGATGTCTATCTAACCTGCTCTATCTCCAGAGAGAGAGATTCCACAACCTCCTTAGGCAATCTAATCCAGAGTTAAATTACCTTGACAATTAGGAATTTTTTCCAAATATCCAACCTAATCCTTCCTCGCTGCAGTTTAAACCTATTGCTTCTTGTCCTACCATCAGAGGCCAAGAAGAACTTGTAACACTCTTTTAGGTACTTGAAAATCGCTATCATGTCCCCTCTCAGTCTTCTCTTTTCTAAACAAAACAAGCCCAGTTCTTTCAGTCGTCCCTCATAGGTCATGTTCTCTAGACCTTTAATCATTCTTGTTGCTCTTCTCTGGATCTTCTCCAATTTCTCCGCATCTTTCTTGAAATGTGGTGCCCAGAACTTAACACAATACTCCAACTGAGGCCTAATCAGTGCAGAGTAGAGCAGAAGAATGACTTCTCATGTCTTGCTCATAACACTCCTGTTAATGCATCCCAGAATCATGTTTGCTTTTTTTGCATGATCCAGCCATTTCTTGTACTATCTAAACTAAAGAGCAATTGCGTTAACACACAGGCTTTGCAAATTTTCATATGTGCTTCAACTATCACACATCCATGGAGAGGTAAATATACCAGAGTACAGAGCCGGCCCGAGCCATTTTGGAGCCCTGGGTCTCAGGCACGCTGCACTGCCCCCAAAGCGCACAGCCCTGCCTCCGGGCCCAAGGCACATGTGCAGGCCCACCCCCGGAGAGCAATTGCGTTAACACACAGGCTTTGCAAATTTTCATATGTGCTTCAACTATCACACATCCATGGAGAGGTAAATATACCAGAGTACAGAGCCGGCCCGAGCCATTTTGGAGCCCTGGGTCTCAGGCACGCTGCACTGCCCCCAAAGCGCACAGCCCTGCCTCCGGGCCCAAGGCACATGTGCAGGCCCACCCCCGGAATGTGTACGGCGCCTGCTCTGGGCAGGAGCTGCAGCCCGCCGGGAGCCGGGCACCCCTTGCAGGTTGGCGCTGTGGTCAGCTGCCCAGCTAGCCCATCCCTTAGTCCAGCCCTGCCAGAGTACCTACAAGTTGGAGTTCTGTTTAAGCAACTAATGTCTTGGAGAAGTCAGCATTGGTCTTGGAGGCCTAATGCAGCTAGACCAATAGGTCCCATTTGCATGATGGCATAATAAAGTGTCTTTCCATAAGTGTGCCAAAAAGGCTAAAGAAAGACAGCACTGAAGTCCACTTAGACCCAAGGGTATTAAAAACACATGGGTCCAGCATTTTGGGACCCAAATACAGCAGCTTGATGAGTTTCCAACAGTGGAAGCTTCACCAGCACTGTGACAACATAAAGGTTGTGTCTAGACTACATGCCTCTGTCGTCAGAGGCACGTAGATTAGACACATAGGCAAAGGTAAATGAAGCCGCGATTTAAATGATCGCGGCTTCATTTACATTTACATGGCTGCCGCTGTATACTTCCTCACTTGAAGCAATTCTCCATACGCTGGACGTACGCAGAGCCCTTGCTTTCTACATTGACAGGACACGGGAGTTTCGCAAGACAGACTGTCTTATAATATCGCTAGCTGTCCACTCCAAGGGCCAGGCATTATCCTCCCAGCGCATTGCGAAGCTAATAGTTTCATGTTTTACTACCTGTTACTCCATCTCCAATAAGAAAGTTCCATCTCAACCTAAAGCTCATTTGACAAGAGCAGTGGCTATGTCTACAGCCTTTATAAGAGGAGTCCCATTCCATGATATTTGCCGAGCAGTGACATTGTCCTCCGATGTCACCTTCATGGGACATTACGTGATCATACATCAATTTGCCTCAGACTCCTCAGTGGCTACAGCAGTACTCCCACTCTACCAGAAACCTTGATTCTGGAGCTCACCTTCTGGACTGGAGTACTGCTCCGAAGTCACCAGCAGTGGAGGACCCACGGGGACCACTCGAAGAAGAAGAAGTTACTCATCTTTGTGCAGTAACGATGGTTCTTCAAGATGTGTCCCCGTGGGTGCTCCACTGCTGGTGTCAGGCTCATCCCGGCACCGCAGATCAGAGACTTGCCATAGCCGTGCTCGGCCGGACCACACATGTGCGATCGGCATCCGGTTGTCTGTAACGAGAAAAACAGAACCAAGATTCTGGAGTGGGGAGGAGGGAGGGTCGTGGAGCACCCACGGGGACACATCTTGAAGAACCATCGTTACTGCACAAAGATGAGTAACTTCTTCTTCTTCGAGTGGTCCCCGTGGGTCCTCCACTGCTGGTGACTTCGGAGCAGTACTCCAGTCCAGAAGGTGAGCTCCAGAATCAAGGTTTCTGGTAGAGTGGGAGTACTGCTGTAGCCACTGAGGAGTCTGAGGCAAATTGATGTATGATCACGTAATGTCCCATGAAGGTGACATCGGAGGACAATGTCACTGCTCGGCAAATATCATGGAATGGGACTCCTCTTATAAAGGCTGTAGACATAGCCACTGCTCTTGTCAAATGAGCTTTAGGTTGAGATGGAACTGTCTTATTGGAGATGGAGTAACAGGTAGTAAAACATGAAACTATTAGCTTCGCAATGCGCTGGGAGGATAATGCCTGGCCCTTGGAGTGGACAGCTAGCGATATTATAAGACAGTCTGTCTTGCGAAACTCCCGTGTCCTGTCAATGTAGAAAGCAAGGGCTCTGCGTACGTCCAGCGTATGGAGAATTGCTTCAAGTGAGGAAGTATACAGTTTGGGACAGAAGGAGGGAAGGACGATGGGCTCGTTGATGTGAAATTCTGTACAGATTCTGTAAATAAAATTCTGTTTATTAGGAATAAACGCTGGATGAGATCTCAACATTACTGAGTCCTTAGTGAATATCGATGGTTGTGGAAATGATATGAGGGCTGCCAGCTCGCTCACTCTGCGTGCCGATATTATGGCTAGTAGAAAAAGGAACTTGATTGTGAGTAAGTGTAGTGACGTCGTAGCCATTGGTTCAAACGGGGGACGTGTTAAGGTGTCCAGCACGACTTGAGATTCCACAAGGGCGGTGGGGGACTTCGTGGTGGGTTAAGATTTGTGAGCCCCTTCAAAAACCTTTTGGTGATGGGGTGGGAGAATAATGACCCATCTTCCATGGTGTGGTGGAACTCATTGATTGTTGCTAGATGTATCCACAAGGAGGCTATCAAGAGCCCTGCTCATTGCCGATGTAGGATATAATCAAGTATATGCTATAAAGGTGAAGTTTGTGTGTGTTTATATCGTTGTTACACCATGCTTGAAATCTAGTCCACTTAGTTAAGTAAGTTGCTCGCATGGAGTCCTTCCTGCTGTGCATTAATACGTGTTTAGCTTGCTCGGAACAGAGGTTTTCGGATGCCCGGAACCAACTAGTATCCAAGTGGTCAGGTGTAGGATTTTGGGTCTCAGATGAAGCAAAGAGCCATTCTGTTGAGTGAGTAGGGGGGGAAGACAGTATGGTGTTCACGTGGACATTTGGTGAAGTATCAGGTACCAAGGTTGCTAAGCCCAAGTGGGGGCTATCAGAATCATCCGGGCTGCATCCATGTTGATTTTTTCTAGGACCCTGGGTACAAGGACAACCGGTGGAAAAGTGTAGAGTAAAGACATTCTCCAATGAAGGAGAAGGGCATCTCCCAAGGAGTGGTTATTTGGGCACTTCGCATTGATATGAGTAGCGAATAGGTCTATCAAAGGAAACCCCCCCCCAACAA